GACCCTTGGGAGCACACTGGTACCGGTATGGCCCCACGGAGCACTCTGGAGGAGGGCTGCCCACCAGGTGGAGTGGAGCAGGAGCACCTTTGAGAGAATGGCCAGAGCAGGCAGGTTGGTTGAGGCATGTCTTCAAGGGAACGCCAAGGCGGGGGTGCACAACATTAACTAGGCCGATTAAACATGACAGGAATCCCACCCCCCAGCATCAGACCAGCTAAATGAAGGAGTGTTTCTTTAAAAATGGTGGGAGGGGGGATCAGGATGGGGAATACATGTAAATCCATGGCTGATTCATGTCAATGTATGACAAAACCCACTACAATAGTGTAAAGTAATTAGCCTCCAACTAATAAAAATAAATGAAAAAAAAATGGTGCCCACCAGTGCTCCTGTCACTAGAAAATTCTAGCAGATCCCTGCTCCTCTGGCACCTGCCCTGATATTAGTCAGTGAATCTTCTTTTTGTATGACCCAGGTGCTTTTCAAGCTGCTGCCTCTCATCTGGAACTTAGAGCAAGTGAGTTTGCACACAAGCCCTTCTAAAACCAAATCTTGTTTTCCTACAGCATTTCAGCTCTCAAAAGGTATAAGCCCCACTGGTTTTCAAAGTTAGATATTATTGGGGCTCAGTTTCCTAGTCCAGGTTCCCCAAGCTGGGAAGCACATTCTGGGGCTCAGACCTCTCAGTCCTTAGAGGGGAACCTTGCTGTTATGATATTTCTCTTGCTTATGGGTCACCACCTTGGTAGTGTGGGTTCTGTCTAGATGGAGTCTCTGCTTTTTTTTTTACCTATCTTGATGTTCCCTCTTCTTTATATCCTTTGAATAAGTTGTATAACATGTAGATATGCTAAACTAGTACTCAGGTTGTTTTCAGAGATATTTATTCTGTCTATAGCTGTAGTTTTGATGTGTCTATAGGAGAAGGTGAGCTCAGAATTTTCCTGCTTTGCCATCTTAATCCACAGGTCTCCCAGACAATATTTGAAACCCTTTAATTATACTATTTATATTAATATGCATAAGTCTATAAGTCAAGAAGTACTGTTATGAGCACTTTGCAAAAGAATACATTCATAGAATTAAATCCTTTTCCCAACATTACTCAAGTAGGAAATGGCAGTATTTGGTTGGTTAGTTTCTGTGTGTATATGTGGGTAGGTGTGTCTGCACGCAAGTATGTATGACTTCTGAAGTAAAGTAAGCATTTGCTATAACTTGCAAGAAAAAGGAAAGTGCCAGATAGTCTGGCTCCAGAAATGATGATGTTGATCTCAGTTCTATACTTCTCTGAGGGACCTGAAAATCTAGTTGGATAGCTAAAATATACTTATCAGAAACCTACACAACAGAATTAGAGGATAGGAATATTGAACATGTACACAGAGAAGCATGGGAATTCAAGGAAGAAAGCTATCACTTCTACATGGTGAGCTGGGAAGAGAATATGTGATCAGTGGGTAGGAGAGCCCTTGTGATGATTTATTTTTTTGACTTGGTGTCATCCTTAACATACATGCATACATACATGTATAGGAAGTAACTTTTGCTTATTTGAAAATGGAGATCTCATTTGTTTAGTTCTCTCTATAAAGAAACAGAAACTAATTCATAGAATATAAATATTTCCAAGTCAATTGTAGAGACTAAACACATTTTTAGAAACATAAGTTCTTAATTGTCTATGTATGTGAAGATAAAATTGTAAATTGGCACACATTAAGCATTACAGCATGTAATAAGTATGTGTCACTATCTTTATTCATTTGCTTGTCTCAGTATTCTAGAGTAATGAATAATGTGCTATGATGTACAGGACAACTGCATTCCTTCTTGATAATCATTATAGTATCTGATGCAATTTCAGAATGATATAACCTTGCCAGAAATAATCAAAATAAGGAAAGTAGGAAATAAGTGAATGAATAAAATGCTTTAATAACTTAAGTGGGCCCTTGAAGCTCTTGAATATTTGTATTATAATTCCTAATTTATTCATTCTCCCAACCTTCCAGACAATTACTTAATAATTTTTCATCCCTTTAGGTTACATTACTTTATGCCACCTTAGCCTCTAACAACATAAACACAACCATAAAATAATTTCAACAAACCACCTCCACCACATTCATATATCTACCTATTTGCCTGCCAACAGAATTGAAACTCTCTCCCAGTACCAAGGATGAATTTTCTATGTTTCTCACTAAAACTGACTTTTATACTAGAACTTATTCCTCTCAGAAAATACTCTGACAATTCTCCCTGCAAATCAACAAATTTTCTTCTCTAAAAAGTCATTCCAATTAACATTCACCACTTTCTAAGGTACTATACATTTTCTTGTTTATCTTAGGTACGATCGTTACCCCTACTATAATGTAAGCCCTGTAAAGTCAGAGATGTTTTATGTGTTTTTCACTTCTCTATGATGACACTCCACAACTCTTATTGCACAGTGAGCATTTATTAATAGTATAAGTGACAAGGATTTTCAGAAGCCTGTATCAGATTTTTATATTGTAAACTCATCATCCAAATGCAAAATAAATTAAAAAAATGTAACTCTGAAGGGAAACATCCAATCATAGATAATATGACTACAATTTTAAGGTTTTATGGGAAAGTATGAGACTTAGATAGAATCAGGAGGTCATAGACAATTCGCATTCTTAAAATTTATGCAAAACACCAAAACTTCTTAGCTTTCTATGGAATAAGCCTAAAACCTGAACTTTAGGCTGGATTTTATTCTAACTTTAGGTAAAGACAAACAAAAGGAATAGGATCTTTACAAATAATGCCTGTGAATTTAAGCTGCCAAGTTTAACACAACTGTACAGTCTCATATCTACATTTATTTAGCTTCATTTCTCATCCTCAAGTGTCTGGTTTTCTGAAGTAACTTTAAATAGCTAATATATGACTCATAAATGCATATTGCAGATGATATGCTGTTTAGAAGCATTTTAATCTTTCTTATTCATATAGTTTTCTTTAACTGGTTAGTAACTTAGCAACATGTGAAGTAAGTTTTCTCAAAGGACTATTTCCCACCTATGTATGAATTGGGTTGTCAGAACTTAGGCAAATGGGACTAAAAGAGAGGACTGTTTCATCTACATACTGATCCTAGGATTCTTTCTATCTCTTTGCACATAACTTGTAATCTCTGAAAGATTAGCCATAAGTAATCATTCTTTTTATGGGGATCCCAGACACTAAGAAATACTAGAACCTGGCGGTGTTTTCTAGGTGAGCTATATAGAAAGGGATTTATAAAGTTTTAGAAGAAAGCTCCCAAAAGTATTGAAAGAAAGACAATTTTCTTGGCTTCATACACTAAATCCATTGTCTGCAGTCAATCCAGTTTGTCTTAATCACACAGGTTGCACATTAAAAGTAGGGATAAAAGTTTGTGAAATAGCATGTTGCTGTCAAATCTGTACCCTTGTCAAATTGTTTAGTGAAAAGGCATAAATAATATTGCAGTCTATTTTCTGCCACTATCTTAAAACTTCCTTGGAATGTTACTAACTTTTTAATTATGCAATTTTTTCAGCAACTGCATTTGGAATGCCCCTATTTTTTTTTATGGTCTATCGTACTTTTGAAAAATTAAACGGTATTTAGGAGGATTATAAATGACAATTTTGGTTTATTGAATGACTTTTCTTTCATCTCTGTTATATATGTGTATGTGTATGTATGTGTGTATTTTAATATCTAATCTGCTGAAATTAAATAGAAATTAAAACATTGAAAAGATGGTGATATCTAAGGGTAGGTAGATATTCTGTTATTCTTTTTAAGCAGTTGTTACAGTTACAAAATGTGTTAAATGAATGAGGTAATGAATGAATAGATGCTCCTTTACACATATGTGGATAGTGAAGGTGGGAACATATAGAACTGTCATTATCTCAACCTGAAAATAAATTACTCCTTCTCCAAGTTCAGAGAGGCCTGAAGATGCCTAAAAAGATTGATCACTTGATCCAAATTCCATTTGAGGAGATCTATTTACCTGAGGGAGTTTGGTCTGAGTATAGTATCTTAGCTTTAAAGAACAGTTGTAATTTAGAGTATAACATCTCTCGTTTATATATTTATTCAATAAATAATATTTCAGCCATTATTATCTGTCAGTAGCTGCTCTGGGCACTGGAATTGACCTCAGTGAACTCATATTCCATTGGGAATGTAGACAATAAATGAGTGTAATAATAAAGTATGTGATCTCTGGTATAGATTATTTCATTGAAATAAATAAAGTAGGGAAATGAAATTAAAAATGGCTTATGATATAGAGATCTACATCTAAATATGAAGATCAGGAAAGACCTCATTCTGAAGGTCACAAGTGATTTGAGAGCAGAATATTTGGAAGAATAGTGCGTTAATTCAAGTAGTCAATGATAATTATACAAACCTTTGTGTGAATGGAAACATAAAGAAGTGGTTGGATTTGAGAAATACTTTTCAGAAATAGAGTTTACAAGACATGCTGATAACATTTTCTAAATCAAACTTGGGGGTATCTGGAGTCAGGGGGAAGGATGTTGGTAAAAGACCAGAGAGATAAACACTTAAAATTCGATTTCTCTATGTGAAAATGAGTGGCGGTTTGCATAAGTGGATCTGAAGCTAAACAGGTAGATCTGGGATGGATACAGGAATTTGGAGACATTCATGGATGGTTTTAAAATCTGCATCAGGAGAGAGAATCTATGAGACAGTATATTTCGGGAATAGTAGGTTAACTGTGAAGTCCTAGAGTGTGGCAATATTCAAGTACCAGAGGAAGAGCAAAGAATATGTAAAATTTAGGCAGTCTGATTAGCAGTAATCATCAAAATGAACAGCATAATATGCCTCAGTCCTAATTTGGTATTGATGATTAGCAGCAGTACTTCAATGTTAAGAGGGTTGGTGGATGGAGGGATGGGGTAGAACTGAGTGGGAAGCTGGGGAATGAAAAGAAGTTATGTACTTACCTGGAATAGCTTGGGGTGCTAAGTAGATTTGCAACACTAGCTCTCAGGGCCAGAGAAATGAGACTGGAAACTGTATACCTTTTTAGGTTGTAAGTTGGAGACTAGAGGTAAAAAAAAAAAAAAAAAAGGCAGAAGAGTTAGAGCTTGGGTGTCTACCTCTCATCATGAGGGCACTGGAGCTTAATGAAATAAGCCAGGAGTTCTGACTGTGGGCTCTGGCTGTATTCCTTGAGGTTAGATAAATGACCACGTGTGCGAATTAAGTCGCTTCAGTCGTGTCTGACTCTTTGTGACCCTATGGACTGTAAGCCACCAGGCTTCTCTGCCCATGGGATTCTTCCAGGCAAGAATACTGGAGTGGGTTGCCATGCCCTCCTCCGGGGGGATCTTCCTGACTCAGGTATTGAACCTGAATCTCTTGAGGCTCCTTCAGTGCAGGCAGATTCTTTACTGCTGAGACACTGGGGAAGCCCTAGATAAATGACTACTTAACTGTAATTCTTAAATTTCCCCTTTCAGTAGAATTCAATAGCTATTGACAGTTTATCTGACTGTACATGCTCGAAGTATTTATTGACCCTACTTGTGCCAACTATTAATACCTTTCCAAGTCTGGGGAAACAACCATGAACAAGATCAGTAACTGCTTTTATGGACCTTTTCAGACTCTGCAAGAGTAGTAGAGGATAATTTGAGATAGTATTAGCGGTGGCAAAATTTAAATGTAGAGAATAATGTGGGAAATTGATGGCTAGAGAAATACTATTTTGAGGCGAGGAGGTTAGCGAAAGTTTTCTGAAGGACCGAGATGGGAGCTAAGTCATAAGATGTAACAGGAATGAAGACCCTGTCAGTATTCGGGATTACAGATCTCTACACAAGGGAAACACCCAGGGCAGTGGCTCTTAGTTTGACATGAACTTGATGTGTGTGAGAACTCTAAAGAAGGCTGGAACTTGATGAATAAGGAGGTGGAGGGTTTAAAATGAGACCAAAGTTATAGTTACACTCTAATAGAAGTCAGGAAAAACTCATTCTCCTATCCCTAGGACTCTAAATTCTAGACGAAATAAATCTTATATAAGGCCCGTTATAGTAGAAAGAAATTAAATTCAAATCCTACCTCTGCGATTTCATAACTGGGTGTTTGGGAAATTTATTTAATCCCACATCCTATGTATTTTCTCACTTTGAAATTATGCACTCCATAGTGTTAAATAGTGGTGCATCCCTGTAAGAATTGCTATTTGGATTAAATTAGTATATGTAAAAACACACGGGTCTTCTCAGGTGGCGTTAGTGGTAAAAAACCCACCTGACAATGCAGGAGACATAAGAGATGAGGGTTCAATCCCTACCAGAGAATCAGATAACCATCAGCTATTACTCACAAGTAAATGAGAAGTCGCATTAACTATAGATAAAGATGTCAATGCCCAATATTAATTCAACCATTATCAAAATGCTGCCCAGGTACAAAGCAGAGTAAATGAGGGTGTTTCGATGGCTTGTGAATCGTTAGTCCTGAAGTAAGCTTTGTGTATCAAATTAAAAAAAAAAAAATCAATACAGACATTTTCATCTGGTGGCTTCTGGAAGCAAACTGAAAATGCCAGAGAAAAAACTCCAATGTATGTCACCACATACTTTGTTTAAGAGTTAACAGAGTGGTAGGGGGTATAGTTCAGGGGTAGAGTATTTGACTGAAGAGTTAACAGCTCTTTTATATATATATATATATATTGTGTGTCTGAAATTGATAACACTGATGATTGTATTTGAAAATGGATTTCAGAAAATGCATGCCAAGTATTAGTTCATATAGTCTTCTTGTAACGCAGAAAATGGCAACGCATTTCAGTATTCTTGCCTGGGAAATCCCATGGACTGAGGAGCCTGACAGGCTACCCTCCATGGCATCGCAAAAGAGTCGGACACGACTTATGGACTAAACAACAACAACAGTAATAATACAGGCTTACAAAATGCATGAGAAAAGTCAATCGCTGGGAAACCTGAAATCTGCAATAGAATGCTATTGATTAGGAGAGGACAAGCTCACAGTGCTTCCAGTAGTAGGCGCTGAGCAGCTGAGGTTCCCACTTCCAGCTCCACCCTACTACCAGGGACAAGCCAGGGGCATTATTTGGCCGATCCTACGGAGTTATGGAATATCAAAAGGCCCAGCATCCCGGGAGAGAAAGGTGAGGGAGCATCCTCTCTCGCAACATGATGAATAAGGTTCTTCAACACCAGCAGCTGCCAAACAGATGAGCAGTTTTTAAGAGTCAGGGTACACAATGTGAGCCAGGCCCAGAACTAATCAGATCTAATTAAGACAGACATGTTATGGTCCACTAGTGCTGACAGGGTCGGGATTCCTGTAGCTTTAAATGAAGCATGTTATAATTAGGATCTAATTGAAAATCTGGAAGTGATACAAAACCTTTACCCTTCAGGGCCTAACAGGAGGTCTGTGTAGGTCCTGGTACGCACTTTATTAGATTGTGAATGCTCAATTAGACAGTTATGTTAAAAAGGTAAGCAAATGGAACAAGAGTTAAATGTGGTTCAAAGGAGCACAATTTCACATCTGTTTGGATAGGTTCTGAGTTGTTTTTAAATTTTAAATTTACAGTTTGTCTTTTTTTTTCATATCCACTATTTTGTTGTGACTACTATTATATACAGCCAAAAAAAAAAATGGGTAATTGGCTGAATATAATATGTTTCATTAAATACTCCTGATTTTTAGGATTTGGAAGGGGTATGTTCATCCAAATTACCTTCTAATAATTATGTAAAAGGTATTCATATTTCACAATCTCAAACAACATTTAAAATTATCTTTGACCAATACAAATGGCCACAAATTTCTCTAGTAGGATTTTTCTTTATTCAAGTTGTTTGATTTTTGAAAGCTATTTAATATTTTTATGGAATGACTCAGATCTTAGTGTATTATGGCCAATTAGCTCCACATTGCTGCCCTAGGTACATGTGCCACATGTACAGATAAACATGAAACAGCCCAAGAGGACCTAGATTTTCCTCTTCACAAATCTTCAGGTGATTCTTAAGATCACTCTAGTAACCACTGATACTTAATGAGGCTATGGTTGGTTTTTGCTTCTGCTTTGTAGTGTAGCATTAGCTTATAGTGGGAGCAGTGCCCCTGGGGCCATGTTTTAGCTATATATTGACTGGGAACTATCTCCTGGAGATAGCTTTTCGCTTTAAAATTTGTTCTCTAGATGCAGTGTGTGTGTTCAGTCTCTCGGTCAGGCCTGACTCTTTGGAACCTTGTGGACTTTTGCCCACCAGGCTCCTCTGTCCATGGCGTTTTTCCCATCAAGAATACTAGAGTGGATTGCCATTTCCTCCCCTTGGGGTTCTCCCCTGACCCAGAGATCAAACCTATGCCTCTTGCATTGCTGGTGGATTCTCTACTGCTGAGACACCAGGGATGCCCCTAGATGCAGTACTAACAGCTAACCTTGAATATTTTCCAGTTATTTCATGCTAAGTTTGGGAATAGATCCAATCATTATACAGTAATCGTAGTGAAAAACTGAAGATCACATCAACTATCTCTAAAATATCATCTTTGTTGATTGGCCACCTTATCGATTTACAATTTAATTTTACAGAAGATTGGTTCAAAGAGCCAAATAACAAGTTTAGGACCTAATGCAGTGGTTGTTTCTCACTGCATTCGGATCTCCTTCTACATCTCATTTTATCAGCAAGGACCTCTCAGAACGGAGGACATAAAATACCACTTCAGTCCCTTGCTTGACCCTGCTTCCTTCCTTCTGACAGACCTTGTCATTATATGACATATGTGTTCAATCTGTGCATCCTAATGTCTGTTTTCCTCCTGAGCAAAGGAGCTTGGTTCTGCTCACTGCCATCTCCACACTGACTGGCGCAGCACTGGTCAGCACAGTAGGTCCACAGGCAAATTGGAATGAATGAATGGAAGAAATACAGTCAATGCTTGCCTTTGGAGGTTTACCATGAAAGTTAAGTTTGAGATTTACAAGCTAAAAATTATACATTCCAACACAAATAAATACGCAAGTTTCCCATGTCTGAATGATTTCGTTTTTGTCCTAGTTGTAGTCCCTAATTTAAGTTATTGGAAATGTGGAGTGATCTGGTCTGTTGGCCTTTATCTATTGTTTGAATTTTTACTTTCCCTACACCTGTGCTCGTTACATTGCAGACAAAACTTATGCCATTTAGTGCAAACATTTCCGTGGGGAAAAAACATGTTACGAGTATTTATAATAAAACAGTGTAATATGTTTAAGGACATAGAACATTTGTTGCTCTTGTAACCTGATATAGAGATGGTTTCTTCCATGTAGCAGACTATTTCAATTTATAGTCCAGTGATATTTTACAAGGCATCACACTATTTTCTGAACACTCTAATCCTAACTGTAGAGTTGTTTTTATAGAATGGCAGCTTCAATTTCACCAGATGTGAAATCATTTGGTTGTGTAAACACTTTTTTTTCTGAAATGTATAGGGTTTTTATTTCACTTGAAAAAAAAAAAAAGCCTGTAAATGGATAATGTCTATAGGTTGAACAGGACATCTCAGAGGGTTCCAGGGCTAAGATCCACTGAGGTGATTTACAGTCTGAGGTAAACAGATTGGCTCAGGTAACACTGGCTGATCGATGCTCCCATCTCTCCAGCAGGAAATGTCTTGGGGAGGCAGGAGAATGACTTTTGCAAAACCCTTCTTCAAATCCTGAGCTTCCCTGGCCCCACTCTCTCCTTTTTCCTGAAGACTTGAGAACTAAAGAAATAAAAAATCATCTTTCCTCTGCTTTGAAAAGTTCTGCCTGATTTTTTTTATTTTTATTTTATATATATATATATATTCTATATTTGAGAAAAGAGCAATTGAATGAACTGTTTGACAAGTTTACCTTGAATAACTTTTCATAATAAATATTGGGCTATCTGTCCCAACAGTGCAGGCAAGTGTAGAAATATACGCTTCTCACATTTTTATGGGGTGTTAGAAAGTAATTGAAAATGATGTTTGCAATAAAGTTTCCATTTTACCCTTTAATCAGTCCTA